CCTTCTGGGGCTATAGGAATCTGGGTCCCTCAGGGAGAGTCTGCAGGAGTAAAGACAGAGGCAAAGAAGGCATTCAGCACCTCTGCCTTCTTTATATCCTCTGTCTCCAGGGCACCCACCTCGTTCAGCAGTGGGCCTATATTGCCTCTTGTGTTAGTTTTATCTGCTATGTATTTGAAGAAGCCCTTTCTGTTGTCCTTAACCAGACTTGCAAGATTAAGTTCCAAGGAGGCCTTAGCTGTCCTAATTGCCTCCCTACATCCTCTAACAACTGTCCTATATTCCTCCCAAGTGGCCAGCCCCTCCTTCCATAATCCATAGATTCTCTTTTTCCGCATGAGTTTGCCCAGCAGTTCCTTGTTTAACCATGCTGGTCTCCTGGCTCCCCTACTTGACTTCCTACCCATTGGGACACTGATCCTGAGCTTGAAAGAAGTGGTCCTTGAATGCTGACCAACTATCTTGAGCCCCTTTCCCACCTAGTACCCTTTCCCATAAGACTTTCCTTAGCAATTGATTGAAGAGGCCAAAGTTGGCCCTTCGGAAATCCAGAATTGCGGCCTTGCTAGATATTCTATTCCTCCCACACAGGATCCTAAACTCCACCATCTCATGGTCACTGCAGCCAAGGCTGCCATTGACCATCACCACTTCAACCAGACCCTCCTTGCTGGTGAGTACTAGATCCAGCAGCGCTCCTCTCCTAGTTGGTCTGTCCACCATTTGTATTAAGAAGTTATCATCAATGCACTGGAGGAACCTCCTAGACTGTGAATGATTGGCTGTGTAAGTCTTCCAGCAAATATCGGGGTAGTTAAAATCCCCCATGAGGAACAAGGCATGTAGTCGTGAGGCTGCTTTCAGTTGCCTGTAGAAAGCCTCATCAACTCCTTCGTCCTGATCAGGAGGTCTATAATAGACCCCCACAACTGTATCACCCGTACCAGACTGTCCCTTAATTGGTACTCACAGACTTTCCACTTGCTCCTCATCTGCCCCTGGACAGAACTCAATACATTCTAGTCTCTCTCTTGCATAAAGAGCAACTCCACCACCTCGCTTTGCTGACCTATCTTTCCTAAAAAGGACACAGCCATCCATGACCACATTCCAGTCATGTGAGCTGTCCCACCATGTCTCCGTAACTGCCACCAGATCATAACCTTTAGACCACACACAGACCTCTAACTCCTCCTGTTTATTCCCCATGCTGCATGCATTGGTGTGCAGGCATTTCAGGGAGCGAGCAGAGCACGCTAGTGGCACCCTTGGGAGGCCTTCTGGTCTTCATTAATACTAGAACAATGCTCCACTAGTTCAAACCCAGCTACAACCCCCTCGCACTTTGAATCTAACCTAAAGCTCTGTGAGTGAGCTCTGCTAACTCCTGCCTTGGTACCCTTTTTCTCCTGCGGGACAGGGTCTAAACAACTATCCTTTCCCTCAAATGAAACAATAGATTGAGAGACCTCCCTAGTCCGCCATCCTTCAAGCCCTAGCATGTTTCTCTTGGGCTTCTCCCTAACAGGCCCAGTTATCTCCCCTTCCCCCTTCATATCTAGTTTAAAGCCCTGTCAATGAGCCCTGCTAACTCCTGCCCCAAAAACCTTTTCCCCCTCTGGGACTGGTGTATCCCACCTGCCACCAGCAAAACAGGTGTCTCATATAGCAGCCCATGATTGAAAAACCCAAACCCCTGCCTTTGGCACCAGTCAGGTAGCCATACATTAATCTGCAGACTCTTCCTATTTATCTCTTCACCCTTGCTTGTAACAGGTATGGAGGCAAACACCACTTGCACTCCAGACCCTCTAACCAGCCGTCCCAGGGCCCTGAAGTCTCTCTTCATTGTCCTCCTTGTAATAATTTCATCACTGCCAACCTGAAAAACCAGCAGTGGATAGTAGTCAGAGGGCTGCACCAGATCAGAGTTTCCTTTTAACATCTCTAATCTGAGCCCCAGGTAGGCAGCAGACTTCCCTGTGGGATGGATCTGGTCGACAAATGGGCCCTTCTGTTCCCCTCAGAAGGGAGTCACCCACCACAATTACTCTTCTTTTCTTCTTGGTTGAGGAAGTTCTAAGGCATGGGGGTGAATGACAAGCCCTAGGTGACTCACTAGATAGATCTACTCCTCCATCTCCATTTATCTGGCCCTGTAGTTCCAAGACCCCATACCTGTTATTCAAGGGCAACTGGGAGGGAGAAAGGGATTGCGAGGGTTTTCGCTTACCTCTCTGAGGAGGGACCTCCCTCCATACCTCCCTGTCCCTTAAGTTCACTCCTTCTATCTGATGGTAGGAGGGAAGGGGATCCATCACTTGTTCAACCACTTCTCTCTGCCCTTGCCTTAGGGTGTGGCTCCACCAATCTATTTCACTTTCTCATTCTCTGATGGCTCTCAACCTTTCTACCTCCTAACTCAGTTCAGCCACCTGCCTGAGCAGATCATTTATTCGCTCACACGGCACACAAGCGGTGTCACTTGCTCTCTCCAGTACAAGTGCCAGGCTCAGGCATTTACTGCAGCCAGAGACCTGCACGGTCGCATGACTGCCGGAAGGGTCAGTCTGGGTACCTACATTATTCCTCACTACAGCTTTTGATCGTGTTGTGACCATGATCTATCTGGTCGATCGGCCCATCTATGTCTCTCCGCACAAGCAGGCAGTCCTTCCTCCTCCTGCGCTCCAGGCGAGTCCTCTTGATCAGGTGGTCATCCTGCTCTCCTGCCCACGCAAACTGCTGCACAAACTGCCTCTACCTGCCTCGACCTGCGCTGTTTGCTGTGCTCCTGGTCTCTTGCACTCCCTGGGCAGGTTTTTAACCCCTCACAGCTGGTGCAGCTCCTCCTGGCTCTGCCCCCGGTGAGTCAGCTCCTGGCATGAGCTGAGCTGCCAGCTCCTGGGCAAGTCCTGTCGAAGACTTGAGGCTCCCTCCTTGGTGGCTCTTGTTGCCCTGAGGTGAGGCTCCTAGATGGTGATCTCCCCCCGCTCTGCTCTGGTGTTGCAGGCGTCCTCTCTCAAGCTACTCACCCCACCAGTTTTGCACTACATTTCCAGACATGCCGCCTTGTGTTTGTTTCTATACTGAGAAAATTGAGAGAGGCCAAAAACTGTTGCTATGCACCTCCTCCAATGAGAGCAGTTCCTTTCACTGCCTTCTGAAATGCCATTTCACGCTTGTGAGGTGGGCTGATGCCAACCTCATGAAGCTTAACCATGCCAAGTGCAAGGTCCTACACCTGGGTCAGAGCAATCCCAGGCACAGCTACAGGTTGGGCAGAGAAGAGATTCAGAGCAGCCCTGTGGAGAAGGACTTGGGGGTGTTGGTCGATGAGAAAATGAACATGGGCCAGCAGTGTGTCCTTGCAGCCCAGAAAGCCAACCATATCCTGGGCTGCATCAAAAGGAGCGTGACCAGCAGGTCGAAGGAGGTGATCCTGCCCCTCTAATCTGCTCTTGTGAGACCTCACCTGGAGTATTGTGTGCAGTTCTGGTGTCCTCAACATAAAAAGGACATGGAACTGTTGGAACAAGTCCAGAGAAGGGCCACGAGGATGACCAGGGGACTGGAGCACCTCCCGTATGAAGACAGGCTGAGGAAGTTGGGGCTGTTCAGCCTGGAGAAGGCTGGGTGGAGACCTCATAGCAGCCTTCCAGTATCTGAAGGGGGCCTATAGGGATGCTGGAGAGGGACTCTTCATTAGAGACTGTAGTGATAGGACAAGGGGTAACGGGTTAAAACTTAAACAGGGGAAGTTTAGGTTGGATATAAGAAGGAAATTCTTTCCTGTTATGGTGGTGAGGCACTGGAATAAGTTGCCCAAGGGAGGTTGTGAATGCTCCATCCCTGGCAGTGTTCAAGACCAGGTTGCACGAGGCCTTGGGTGATATGATTTAGCATAAGGTGTCCCTGCCCATGGCAGGGGGGTTGGAACTAGATGATCTTAAGGTCCTTTCCAACCCTAACGATTCTATGATTCTAATTAATTTATAAAGAAGGCTGTGGAACAAATAGTCTTATCATCTGCTAAGCAGTAGATGATCCTGAGACTGCTGGTGAGATCCCTCTTTCCTCATTTCTTGTCACTGCCATCACACACACACCCACATCAGTAAGAGGACACACACACTAAAGCTATTATTTAACACAAAACCACACGCCCCAAGAGTGGAATTCTACAAGGACTTGTAACAGAATGCTGTCTTACAGTTGTAGATAAACACTAATTGTACATTTATAAATGATTATACTGTAGTTACTACAGACATCATTTGGTTTTACAGATGACAGAACAAAAGTAATTTCTCCTTAAAGGGAACACTGCTTCTTTTAGAAAAAAAATATGGTCTTAATTACCAAGTGTTGTGGTTTAAAACCAGTCAGGCAGCTCGTTCACTCACTCCCCCCCTTCTTTCCCTCCCCCTACTCCTGGAGGGATGGAGAGGAGAATCGTAAAGAATGCAACTCCCACAGGTTGAGATAAGAACAGTTTAGTAACTAAGGTATAACACAAATCACTACTGCTACCACCAATAATAATAATGATAAGAGAAATAACAAGGGAAGAGAATACAACACCTCACCACCCGCCCCGCCCCACCCCACCCAACTGAGAACCAACGATACCTCGTCCAGCCCTACAGTCCCTAGCCCTTCCAGGTAACTCTCAGTTACATCCTGGGCATGACGTGCTGTGGTATGGAATACTTCTTTGGTCAGTTTGGGTCAGGTGTCCTGTCTCTGCTTCCTCCTGGCTTCCCTCCTCCCTGGCAGACCATGTGGCTCAGAAAGTCCTTGGCCAGACCAAACATTTAAGCAGTAACTAAAAACATCGGTGCTATCAGCACCGTTCCCAGGCCGAAAGTCAAAAACACAGTGCTGCACCAGCTATTAAGAAGGAGAAAAAATGACTGCTACTGCTGAACCCAGGACACCAAGCCTTTCCCTTTTTCAAAACTACTTGTGCTCTTTCTAGATGAGTTGTGAATACATACCGCATGGCTCTCAGTGCAGTTTTGTATGCCAATTCAGCATCATGATGTAGGAGAGAGGTGAAAAGATACTTGGCAAATGTGTGCATCGGAACACTCTCTCGATGGATGACTTCACCTAAACCACTATATGGTCCAGCTGTGGGAAAGAGAAAGAAAGATAATGTCAGTCTTTACAGACTGTTAGAACCCAATTTCTGGACCTTTAAAAACATTCATTAAATCTTGAGTTAGAATTGGTATTCAGAGACAGTTTGCTCTACAAAAGGTAAAGTTACATTAATATTTTTGTGAAGTATATTAAATACCATATATTCTTTGAGACAAGAAGACAGCCCACAAATTGTATAATATTAAGCACACTACCAGTGCCATACAAATGACAGAATGGTCCCAAGACTCCATAGGGCTCATTCATCAAGTCTATGATATGCCAAAGTAGAAGGTGATAATCGTAGCTTTGCCTCTGCATAGTTATGTTGTGCACATGAATTCCTATGCATCCACAAAATGCAAAGATAAAAATCACTAGGCATTAAGAAAGTCTGAGCTCCATAGGTGGGCATTTCTGAAGACTGGGGCTGATCACAAAGGAAACGTCAATGAAGATTAAGTAGGTGACAATGTGTGTCTCAATCATTTAAAATGAAGTTGAAAGCCATTCAAAACAAGCTAGCATCGCTTCAATGAAAGAAACCATTTCATAAATATATATTAAAATATATTCTGTCATTAACCTAGCAGTAGAGCAAAAATTAGATCAGTTCTTGCAACACAGTCTTATGTTCTGCTTTCCCACGCATTCAAATGGTAGCTACATACAGCATACATTAATCTCCTTTAACAGCATAGAAATCATCTTAATATTGGATTAAGGTTTCCTTATTATATCTACAGGACTTTAACTATAAAACCACATTCGATATGATTAAGATCTTAAATCACTGCACAGTTTTTCCTCCATGTGAGCTGGCAGTTTCTGTCTAACCTGGAATAAACTAATGCTATTAAAGAAAATCCAGATTTCTCAGCACACAGTAATGCAAAACCATCATTGCACACTGCTCACCAGTTACAGGTAGTTATTTTAGCAAATTTCCTGCTATTATCACTTGTTTACTACTGTAAGAAAACAAAAAAAAAAATCAGTGATCAAAGCAGTAAACTAGAAGTATCAGAGAACATAGAAATCCTGCCTTTTACTCATAAAACATCCTTACCAGTAAATAGATGGAGTGAATTGATTTAATAATCCATAGGATCTCTCTCTGGTGGTTAATAGCTAGATCCAGTAAGTAGCTGTTCTTCTCCAAAGGCCATAAAGCAGTGGTTACAGCCAGACCATAATGGAAATTCTCCCTATGGTGCAGCTTCTCTGCAGTTTCAAATAGCACCATCAGTAGGTACCAAAGTCTTTAAGGATCTGGGGCAATAATAGTGACTCAAAGCTGAACCCTAAACTACATACTGTGTCCCTTCCATTAAAGATGTAGTTTTAAAAGAAAAATGTCTTACAGAAAAAAAGCAAAACCTGACTTCTGTGTAACAGTCTTCACAACTTACCTAGAGCAGTATTACACTCCCCACCATCCCTTGAGCAAGCACTCAAAACTTGGACCATGCCTTTAGCTAATTGGTTACTTTAAAGTTTTCTCTTCAATTTAAAAAAAAAAACAAACTAGAAAGACAACCTTAGAACCCACAAGACTACTCTCTGAACATGAGGCCTAAGTGTTTTATGTTAAGCCTTTTTAAAAGCTAAGGCAAAAGCATGCACTTATTTGGTGTAGATTATTTCAATACACTGGCTAATTGCCAAACACAAGTTATTTGTCTTAATCAAAATTAAGCATAAGATTAGGCCTTAACCTCAATATTTGAACATATATTTTAATTTTCATGTATGATACAAATTTCAGAGGTAAGTAATTTTCCTAATTGGTACAAAGAAAATGTTATATTTCTGTCCCAGTAATTCTAAGTGAATTTTCTGAGCTCTTCACTTGGGAACAGAGGTAAAAGTCCTCATACATTTACTAATCTGCCAGTCCTTTTTCAGGATAAAAGTGACATTTAGAAACTTGCTACCTGAGAACTGTTGATGATAACTAATATCTATATTATTTAACTGTGAGCCTGGGTTGTATAATCAGGATACTGAGATTACGACAAGCAACAAATCTAAAGAACAAAACACAATAAAAATTAAAATTAAAGGCTTATAAATCAGTAGATTCCTTATCTCTATAGTCATGTGATATCTGAAGTATGTATGATTCTCATAAGAGACTGGAAATAAAATTTTGCTTGAGCTCTACATCAGAAAAAATCTTAAGTATGTAAGGCAGTTTCCACTGGAATACTAAATTCAGTGGGCTTGTATAAGTGAAGACAGTTTAAAGAAGCAGTGAGCATCTTTGAACTACATTGAACTACCTTCTAATAGGAAGGCTGCTTGTTTTCGAAAAATCTTCACCAGAGTATCATCCAATTCAATTTCCTGTAGCTTAGAAATGAGTTGCTCCTCATTTCGACAAACCTTCTCTTGTGCATACAAGCCATCTGGCATTATTCGTTGCTGTCCCAGCCCTATTAATACTACTTCCACAGCCAGCGTTAAATAAGATTCCCCTTCTTCTAAGAATTTGTGTGCAGGCAGGTGCTGGTACTCCAGAGATTTGCATTGCCCCACATTCTCTGTAAAGGGTGACACAAAGAATAACACATCAGGAAATCATTCTAATCCATAATCTGCCTATAATGCCACATTTACAAATGCTTCCTCTGTCAGCATTCATTTTTTAAAAATTATTTAAATTACTAGCACAGTTTCAAGATCCAATGATCCGATCTGAACTACCTGATCCAATTCCACATGGCAGAAATATATAAAACAATTTGGTTTTAAAAAACTACTCAAAAAACCAAAGTTTTCATTTTAAACTGCATGATTTGGAGAAAGGCAATTTCTCCAGCTTTGCGCAATAAGGCCAAAATTGGAAGATCTAGTTCCATTTTTTCCCCACCCATTTCCGTATCTCCTTAAAGTTTTGATGTTATATAAGTGTAAAGGAAAGATGCTTATATACTGCATAGATTTCATATGAAGCTATTAGGATTGTACAAATAAAGTAGATGTGGCAACTCCACAAAACTTTAAAGCAACCTGTTTCCTAGAGCTCTTTTCATGATTTTTTGTTACAGTTGTATTTATGATAAACATGTATAATGTTTCTGACTCCTATTAACACTAGAAGGGCAACTTTTAGCAAAGATTATTTGTAAATTCCACACAAAGCCATGAATTACTTAAGAGTACTACTAATTCATTAGGCACTTCAGAGACATACCATATGACAAAACCCCTAGCAGTTTACAGTCTAGTTTGAGAAAAGTTGTAATGTACAGAAGTAAGGATGTATGTGGTTTGTATGGCAAGGTTTTAGTAGCAGGGGGGCTACAGGGGTGGCTTCTATGAGAAGATGCCAGAAGCTTCCCCAGTGTCCAAAGGAGCCAATATCAGCCGGCTCCAAGATAGACCTGCCACTATCCAAAGTTGAGCCCATCAGCTATGGTGGTAGCACCTCTGTGATAACATATTTTAGAAGGGGAAAAAGTTATTGTGCAGAAGAAATTGCAGCTGGAAGAGAGGAGGAAGAATATGTGAGAGAAACAACCATGCAGACACCAAGATCAGTGAAAAAGTAGGGGGAAGAGATGCTTCAGGTGCTGCAGCAGAGATTCCCCTGCAGTCCTTAGTAAAGACCATGGTGAGGCAGGCTGTCCACCTGCAGCCCATGGAGGTTAATGGTAGACCAGATATCCACCTGCAGCCTGTGGAGGATCCTACACCAGAGCAGGTTGATACATTTGAAGGAGGCTGTGACCCTGTAGGAATCCTATGCTGGAGCAGGCTCCTGGCAGGACATGTGGCACTGTGGAGAGGGTAGCTCATGCTGAAAACGGTTTGTTAGGAGGGCTTGTGACCTTGTGGGGGACCCATGGAGCAGTTCATAAAGAAGTATAGCCTGTGGGAAGGACCCCATGCTAGAGCAGGGGAAGAGTGAAAGAAAGGTGTTTTGAGATTTGTTTTTATTTCTCATTACCCTACTCTGATTTGATTGGTAATACATTAAACTAATTTCTCCAAGTCGAGTCTATTTTGCCTGTTGGAACTAGATGATCTCAAGGTCTTTTCCAACCCTAACTCTTCTATGACGGTAATTGGTGAGTGATCTCTCCTGGTCCTTATCTTGACCCATGAGCCTTTTGTTATATTTTCTTTCCCCTGTCCAGTTGGGGAGGGGGAGTGATAGAGCAGCTTTGGTGGGCACCTGGCATCCAACCAAGTTGATCCCAACAAAAAGGAGATAGACAGCTGCAGCAAATGAGAAGGCAGAATGCATTTGGTAGATTGCGTATGTATGTGTAGGGGGAATTTAGTTTTCAACACACACACAACTTTTATTTAATTGCTTTTTTTGTGTGTGTTTTTTTTTCCTAATTGCAAATTAATGTTTTTTCCAGAATTTGGGGATATGGGTTTAGAAGTTTGTTGAAGAAAATCCAGTTGAATAAAAGGGGTTCTGAGGCAAAGCCCCAAGAAGCTTTGGGATGTGCATATACAAGAGAGCTGTAAATAGAGGGATAAATTGATTTTCTGACCACACAGAAGGTGAAAAGAGATTGAGATTAAGGAATAAATCAGTTAAGATCCTGGGAAGCAAATGCTTAAGTTAAAATGGGCATACACATCCTGTCCTAAATTATATATCAATACTGCAACACTGTTTTCCAATTCATAACCTTTACAGACCATGCCTGTTATAAATTGTTTTGCCATCAATTTGAATTATTATATACACTTGTATCTAAGAAGTCAAAAAACATCCTGGACTGCATAGGAGGAGCATCACCAGCAGGTCAAGAAAGGTGATCCTTCTGCTTCGCTCAGAAATAGTGAGCCTACACCTGGAGTGCCCTGTCTAGTACTGGCCTCCCCATGGACATGCTGGAGCAGATCCAGTGAGGGGCCACAAAGATGATTAAAGTACTGGAGCATCTCCCATATAAGAGACTGAGACAGCTGGCACTGTTTAGTCTGGAAAAAAAAGGCTCAGGAGGATCTTACCAACATGTATAAATATCTGATGGGAGAATGTAAAGAAGACAGAGCCAGACTCCTCTCAGCAGTATCCTGTGACAGGACAAGAGGCAGTGGGCACAAACTAAAATACAGGAAATTCCATCTGAGAGTAGGAAAACACTCCAGAAGAGCCTGCCAACCTCAACAACTCTGTGATTTCCTGTAGCTTTTCAAAAAGAGAACAGAGCAATGTATGTGGAGAGGGTTGCTCTATAAAGTCTTATTTGCTTTTATTTCAAGCATCAAGTATGGAGTTGTCTTCAAGAATGAGTAACTGGTAGTTTTTGAAGTGCTTTCATATAACTTATAACAAAATTTTACTTTAAAAATTTTCTCTCCCTTATGTTTTCTTAGAGAATTGTCATGTTTTAACACCAGCTGGCAACTAAATACCACAACTTGCTCATTCCCCTCCATTCTGGTGTGATGGGGAGGAGAATTAGGGAAAGGTAAAATCTGTGAGTTGATATAAAAACAGTTTAATAATTGAAACAAAGTAAAGTATAATATATAATAAATAATAATGAGAAATAAAAAGAGGAATAAACCCCAACCAACAACAGTGATGCACAGCACAATTGCTCGCCACCTAGTGACTGATGCCCAGCCTGTTCTCGAGCAGCAATTGGCTCCTTCTGGCTAACTTCCCCCCAGTTTCTATGCTGAGCATGATGTTCTGGGGTATGGGATACCCCTTTGGCTAGTTTGGGTCAGGTGTCCTGGCTATGTTCCTTCCCTGCTTCTTGTGCCCCTCCTCACTGACAGTGCATGAGAGACTGAAAAGTCCTTGATCAGGGTAAGCACTACTTAGCAACAACTAAAACATTAGTGTGTTATTAACATTATTCTCAGACTAAAGCCAAAGCACAAAACTGTACAAGCTACTAGGAAGAAAAGTAACTCTATCTCATATGAAACCAGGACAGTATGAGTATGCAAATGTGAGTTATACTATAAAGGCACTGGTTTAAAATTTAATTTAGAAAGTCAAGATAGAAAAATGCCTCCAGTTACTGAAGACTTAGAGAAGATTGCTCCCTTTTCATGGCCTTACCCATGAAGTCTGAGAATCCATGGAAGCTCTCATCATCCACCCTGCAGGCTTCCATCAGGCTACTGAAAAGGGTACTAATGGGATCCAAAGGGTGTCCCACCCAACCTTCAAGATTCGTTACTGAGGTTACTCCTTTGTGGAGAAGTTCTGTGACAGAAAAGATGGAGGGAGAAGGGAGGGAAAGAGAGCACGTTAGCCCCTCAAAACAATTCTAGAAATAAAACTGATTAAAATGCTCTTGGTACAGAATTCAAAGTATTTCCAGTAGCTTCTGCTTAGAAGGAGAATATACTATCTTTCAGGTTGAACTCATTGACCTTTGTGAATACATTAAAAGAGGAAAAAAAGAAAATGGATGAAGGCCAAGCATTTTGAGCACTAGCAAAGTGCATTATGGGTCAAAAATTTCAACTGCAGTATCTTTTGAAATTTCTTAGTTGATACCAGCAATTCTTCTGAAAATGTGCTTTTTTTTTTTTGTTATTCTAAAGATTCAGTCAACAAATACCTTCATGGATACTTTGTTTTGTAGCCCTCATCCATCAATCAGTTGTAACATGAAAAAATTGTTTGGCACAATGAATTAATTATAGGAAATATTGCTGTGGTAACAGATGTTAGAGATTTCACAAATCCTGTTTTTATTAAGAATCTTATGGCAGTAGCTCCCCTTTGACTACAACTCCCAACTTTTTTCTCCTAGACACGTACACAACAGAACTATGAGAAATCAGTTGCATTACAGGTAACCATTAAAAAAACTGTATACAAGCCATTACTGATACTCTTGTTTCTCTGCCTATTGCACGCTAACTTGTACCTGCCTCTGCTCTCTCTCATTCACAAAGTGCTCTCTTTCTAAGTAACCATGTGTATAATCACAAGTCTTTAAAAGCTTGCTTCTTGCGTCTTTAAACATATGGGGCTACAAAGTGAAACACAGCCACACTGTTGAACTGAGTGTTCAGGAGGGTGGCTTTTTTTTAAAGAATCAACTGATATGAATATTAAAAACAATAATTGTCTTACTAACAAATAACATGTACTAAAGATGACAGGCAGAAGCCTGTAGTATTACCAAAAAGAATTAATATCAGTGACTTCTGACTCGCTTATATCCCATTTCCTCTATCTACTTATGAGCTTCACTCGTCTCATGCCAGAGGCTTCAGTCCTTCATTTATGTAGACATTTAAATCATTCAAGGGATTCCACAGACGTCAGATCAGTCACATGAATGAAAGCTAAGTAGAAGCATGTGGTGGTTGCTGAACCGAAACCATAGCTGCAGAATTAATCTGTTTATAGAGAAGACCAGCATATTTTGCAGCATTAAAAGTATTTTAGAATTCCAAGCATAAGAGAAAAAAAATACAAAAAACACCCAAACAAAAAAAAAGCAGCAACAACACAGAAATTACAAACTTCTTTGTTTTTGGGTAGGATGAATTGCACTTCATACACTCCATTTTTAGAATAATATTAGTTGACAGCTATAGAAACTGCTCACAGGGAAAGGAACTTAACAGAATTATTGAATGTCTAGATACTGCATTAGCAACTGGGAATGTAAAGAAGAGGTACTAGGAACAGCACACTTGCAGCAAACCCTTCACCACCTGTCAGCAGTATGTATACACATTCACACGCTGGCATAGCCTCCTCCCTTCTTACCTCTCTACTCTGAGAAGCTGGGAAACATGCAAAGCTTTTAAGGAAGTACATGTTAAGGAAAGATATATTCCATGATAAAAACACTCAGAAAAATTCTCCTAAGTAATAAGACAAAGTGCTTTTAAGTTTTATTCAAATCTAGGACCCGCAATAGTACTCAAAATTTCTTCCTTGGGTAGTGTGAAATGGAAATGGAGGCAAATAGGAACTTCCAGCTTTTTTTTTTTTTTTCAGTTAGATGTCTACCTTGTCTTCAAATTCTAAATGAAATTTCTGGGAAAACACCTGCACATACACTTGAAAAATTTACACACATGACTTCACACTAATATATTTTACCTACAATGCATGAGGATACACATGGTTAAGAGTAGCAACAAAGTTCTGAAATAAAATTTGAATGAAAGATGTTCTTGTAGTAGTGGAGAATGTAATTCCAGTTTTCCCACATACATTCTTTAACCACAGAGTCATCCCTTTCTTCTTCCACTACCTCTTCAAACTTATAAGTTCAGTGCAGGATTATTTTTGGTAGTATGTTCCTTCCAAAAATAGGGGTAGTGCTCAGAGGGACACCATAGAAAATTTTATAAAGCCAGTGTTTCAAAAATCTCATTTCCAGAAATGTGAATCTACTAAAGTTTTAATCATCATAAAAGACTTTTAGAACAAACTGCCGAATTTGATAAATTTCTGTAGTTCAGACTTTGCCTTGTTGTTACCTTCAGTGTCCTCTTTAGGCTTCCACCTCAGAAATATATAGCACTGCTAAATTATACATCAGAGGAAAAAAAATATTTTAAATACCTGATGTGCCAAATGCAAAGCTTGTTTAAAAGCCTATAAATTACACAGGGTAAATATTTACACTGTGTAACCAAAAAGCCTTAATGGGATAAAAGCACCATCATGTCAGACATTGCAGAAGGCAGAACAGAGAGCCCTTGCCCTGCAGGGCTTACAACCCAGCTTAAAAAAAACAAACCCTCCAACATCCAGAATGTGGCATTACCACTACAGTCATTTGGATGGAAGAGTTAAGTCACCTCTTTTGCTTTAGTTTCAAAAGCAGTTTTCTCATGCAGAGTTACAGTCCAGTGTTATTGTCACCTTGCCACATCCTTTGCCCTTCCCTCTTCCCCACATTTACCTTTCTTCTGAGCCTGGAACATTTCCAGCTGTTTCTGCTGCTGTCTTCTTAGTGTATTAACGATAGCTATTGCTAGCCTCAGTGCTTCTTGTGGGTATCCATGAGATCGTAATGCATCCACCCTCGCACAGGCTGTAGGAACATGTTCTAAAATGGAGAAGATAATTGAAGAATAGCAATGCTTCCATGTCTAAAATGTCCTGTTTTGCTGGGTTACTCAAAAGAGCTTTTTTTCTTTGTTTTGTTTTTAAAACTATGCAAGAGAGACTTAAAGGACTACTTCTGAGACAGCATTTCAAGGGAGCCTCTGTTCTTTTTGCCAAGCTTTTCATTCATCTCCCCATCATCCCCACAAAATAATGCCATAGAAATTGAACAAAGCAGCAAGTCACAGAAACATGATGTCTTTTGTCTTTCCAGTTTAGCCACTTACCATGCCAGAGGGGCCACCCCTGAGAGTCAAAGAGTGAGTTTTCATTGTTGTCATGGTAACAGCAGTTGATGTATAGGTCACCGCTGATAATGTGCTGTAAGTGGCTGTCCTGCCAGTGCAGATTGCATGCCTCAATGGCTCGAGTGAACACTGTCCGATGATGCCTGTTCGATGAATCTGTCATTTTCAGAATGATCAGAAAGCTGCATCAGCTTTTGCTCATTCATATGCGAATCAGTCATTCACAGTAGTCTCATCTTCTGCCTATTCACCAACCTCCAATTTATGGCAACCTGCCTTGCCTGGCTCCGCAAGGATCAGACCACAGATGATATTTCACATACTATTAACCAACAGCTCAGACAAAGCGTGTGCCATTCACTTTGCATTCAGAGAGATCTACAAACCAGCACAGCTAATGCTAAATAGGGCTTTGCAAAGGAAACATCTAGAGATGAAAGTCATTAAACAGCATATACAAAGCTCCCCTAAAAACAAACTAGCAAGTATATGGCACACAGCTACTCAAGCATCCCCAGCTTCTCTCCTTCCAAGACCCAGAGCTACTAGGATGAGGGACAGATAAACATCACATGAAAGTGTTTTAACTGTTCTCTTTGAGAAGTGATATTAACTTTGAGCACTTTCATAATTTTGTCATAAACATGTACAAATACTGCAAAGAAAGCTAAGTACTGAGGCCATGGGACTGACATAATCCTTACTGGATATCTTCCTATGGCAAAAGTGCTCTGTTGATATGGTACTGTGTCTATGAATGTTGAAATGCCATGTCAGAGTTGCCACAAGCCTGCCCGGGTTGGGCTAAACATCACAAGATCCAGAAAGTAAAACACCTCTGTAGGAAGTTATATGTTGAATGAACTTATGTCCCCAGCTAGCTGCAAGATTTAAAAATGAACCAAGTCTATTTCCTTCAGAGGTCATCTTCCAAGAAAAAGCAACAAGGAAAACCTCATCTAAGCCCAAATCTGTCACCTCCCACAAGCATTTAATTTTAATTTTATCATGATTATATGAAATATTTATCAAAATACTGAGGGTTTTGAGGATTATGAGGGTTTGGTTTTGTTTTTTACCCAGGTAAATATCCTTCATCGTCCTCAGTTATTAGCAAAGTAGCAATCTTTGCTTGAAGATGACTGAAGAAGGCTTCTGTCAGATTTGATAATCACGTTTTAAATTAGAAAGCATTATATTAAGAAGAGATACCTCCTCCAAGAAGGCAGTGTTGCCTCTGCACCCCCTCCCACTTGTCAATGCAGACTGCACATACAGAGCACATCCCACAGATAGCTTCTTTAGTTTCTCATGCACTCAGTTTAATGCCATTACAACAGATCTCCCTTTAAGTAAGGATCAAAGGCTTTGTAACTGCAAACAAAACAAAAATTGCAGCACCAGAAGGGATATAAGATTATTTTTAAGCAAAGAAACAACAGGCTCTTACGTGACATACTTCAGGGACATCCAATTTTCATGCAACAAATATTTAGAAGGACCAAGTGAAAAGTTAGAAGATCTAACTAAACACAAATACTTGCTTTGAAAAAAATTGCAGTCCCAGCACAAAACCACTTCTATTTATCCTTTCTGCAAGGATAGTATTAGTGAAAATAGATTTGGCTGGTCAATCCTCAACAAGAAAGCTACTTGCCCCAGGAAATGTACTGAATTCTGCAAGGCTATAGTATATAAAATAAATGGCTATATTATATGTTGCAATCAGTGCATATATTTAGGCTCACCTTGGTTAGCATTTGCACCCTGAGGTAAAGCATTGGTTAAATTGGACAGCTCATTTCCATGGTTTCCATCTTCCCAGGGACAAACATCCACACTATTCCATTTTTTCAGCTGTTTTAGCCAACTGGCCTTCTGCTCCAACTTGCAGTGGGGATTTAAGACTATACACATCCACAAAGCACCTGATTTTTTAAAAACATTGCTAAATTAGGTTTTCTATTAAAAACACAGCAGCCAATGACTAATTTCAAACTTCTATACTATAACAGTTTTTCTCCCCACAAAGACTATACTGTTTGTTTCCCAGCTATGCCTAACACCAGGGAGACTGAATTCCTGATGCAGAATCTTGGAGTTGGTGTGGCTTATGTAGAGCAGTTGAAAGACTCTATCAAGCCAACTTCCTCAATTAATAGGCATTAAGTGCATATTTTGTATTAGAAAATCCAAACTTCACAATGTATGGCCCATCAGACAGGAACATCAGTCAAAAGCAAACAGTAGTAAATTACCCAAGTTCTTCTAATTTTTGTACCAAAGCAAATGTTGTTTTCTACAAACAAGAACTACGTTGCAACCTTAAATCTTAAACTATGTGTGCTTTTAACATAGTAGAATAGGCCAAACTGTTCTAACTTACTAACGTGTAGAGAGAAAGGAATGTTTGGCTGATGGAGAAAGGAACATCATGGGACTGATAACAACTGATAACAACTAGGAAGACAGTAAATAAGACCAAGGATGCTAGACTTCAAGATAACAGAGCAGCACCCGGTGTGGAGTGAGACTGGAACAGAACAGAATCAAGGACATACCAGCTGCTAACTCAGCACAAGGACCTTGTAAGCGTGTGCAAGCACTGAGGTCATTCAGTAAATACAGTGAGGAAGACTATCGGTGACCACCAGAGACCCCCCACTCAGCAAGAAAGTGCATTCATAATTAGGATGCAAATATTATAATTAGTTCTTAGGATAGCTTATGAATATTCATGAGCATGCTAAATATGTATCTGCTGTCAGCAAGTATTGGGTGCACTCACCTTTGCAAAATGATTCGTGTGTGCACCCAGCGCTGCAATAAAGAATGCTGCTTTCTAAAACTCCAAATTGAGTCTTAGAGAGTTTCTCTGCCTTACTTTTACTGTAACAGTATATCTTCCAGCTTCCCATTACAGGAACCAAACAACTGCATTAGTAAGACATGTATTTTGTAAACACATACTTCCACACTCAAAGCCCAGCAGAAGTACTGTTGATCATATAACTCATTCCCAAACACATCTAGACCTCAGAGATCCAGTAAACACTGGTTTTGTGCAATCTAGTAGGAATTAGATATTTTTACTGCTGCTACTTCAGTAATTTGGTTACACTAGAAATTTTGTTTTACATTTTCTGCTTACAGAGCTCAAAGAGAAAGCTAATTTGCACTGTTGTTTCACATATCCCATCACTTCAGAACCTGTTCCCTGACACTATATAGCAGGGAAGGCATTAACGCATGAGGGTCTCGAGCAACAAGTTTCAAATGGAAATATTTTTCTCTAAATCAGCTGCCTCTTCATCAGCATTATCTTTGACAGAAGCATGAAGACATCTGAAAGTACTGTTTAGCTACAGTTCTTCTGTAATGAGCTACAGGCTCTTTAAGAATGTGCCTTATACACTACAAGAGATTTAAAGAATATGCTTAAACTATACAATCATCTTCATGACAGGCTGAAAAAAAACAACTCAAAAACTCAGTATGTCAATATGCCACAGCACAGGAGCCAGTTGAAACAGAGCTTGATCTTTAAGGTTCCAAGTCTGCTTCTATTCAGTCCAACATGAAATGAGGAAGAAATATCAAAGAAATCTGAAAATAACAACAATATAAGATATGGTACAGTGCAGAACACCAGAGAGGCACTACACCAATGCAGATTATTACTGCACGGTAGTTACATACTGTAGAGCATGTTGCTCTGTTGGGGTTTTGTTTGTGGGATTTTGTGGGGGGTTTTGTTTTGTTTTTTGTTGCTGTTGTATGGCTTTTGTTGTTGTTTGGGGTTTTTTACGTGTCTGAAACTTGCCATAGGGCTAAATAAAGCCAATACTGTTTTTAAAAAGCTCTTTTAAAATTAAATCATACGACTTTCTTTAGACAATCTTCAACACACTAACTCCCCAGTCAAATTATAGGATAGAATCATGGAGCAGTTTGGGTTAGAAGGGACCTTTAAAGGTCATCTAATCCAACCCCCGTGCAATGAGCAGGGACATCTTCAACTTGATCAGGTTGCTCAGAGCCCCATCCAACCTGACCTTGAATGTTTCCAGGGATGGGGCATCTACCACCTCTCTGAGCAACCTGTTCCAGTGTTTCATCACCCTCATTATAAAAAATTTCTTCTTTTTATCTAGTCTGAATCTACCCTCTTTCAGTTTAAAACCATTATCTCTTTTTCTATCAAAACTTTTTAGGGCCTACTAAAAAAGTTTTTCCCTATCTTTCTGGCTCTTGTCCAGCTTTTCATCCACCAGTACCCCCAAGTCCTTGGCCACAGGGCTGCTCTCAATCCCTTCATCCCCCAGCCTATATTGATGCCAGGGATTGCCCTGACCCAGGTGCAGGACCTTGCACTTGGCCTTTTTGAACCTCATAAGGTTCACATGAGCCCACTTCTCTAGCTTGTCCAGGTCCCTCTGAATTACATTACAACTGGTTCTTATTATTAAGCATTAAGCATTCAGCGCTGCCCAAGACAAAAGGACTATATTATTTGCAACATACAAAACAAAAGTGAAGTTGGAGCATATTGGAAAGCCTTGTAGAATAGTTACCTTGGGCTTATTTATTTTCAAACTTTAATTTAAAACTTTGTAACCAGATTCCTGGTGTTTTCATATTGAAGCAAAAGCAAAGTGGAATATCTTAACCACATGTGGTATTTCAATCATCCAGCAAGGCAGAATGCACACTACTGATTAAACCATGACCCTACAAAATGAGTTGCCTTTTCTTTTTTTGCATCTCAGAAACACCACCAAAAGCAAAGGAATTCACTTGCCTTCTTCAGAAGCTCCACTACGCATGCAGTACATCTAAGAGGCAGGAAAGGGAAGAGATACCCCAAAGCACCCAAATCCTTTAAAAACTTCTTTGGTTTAAAGAGGGAAACTATGTCCAGCATAACTACATTGTTAGCAGTGACTGTCTCAGAAATCCACAGTATTTTTATGTAAATGAAGCACAAGGACAAGTGTATTTCTTATAAACACAACATAAACAACTTAAAATTTCAATAGATCAACTTCACCCTGCTCCTGGTGACTTCAGGGCAAGCTGCATGCACATTTGAGATCTCATTCAGCTTTCATGAATGTCCTGGGTTCAGCAGTAGCAGTCATGTTTCTCCTTTGTGGTAGCTGGTGCAGTGCTGTGTTTTGACTTCCAGCCTGGGAACAGTGCTGGTGAAGCCGATGTTTTCGGTTGTTGCTAAGTGATGTTTACCCTGACCAAGGACTTTGTGAGGCTCATGCTCTGCCAGGGAGGAGGGGAAGCCGGGAGGAAGCAGAGACGGGGTGCCTGACCCAGGCTAGCCCGGGAGGTATTCCATACCACAGCATGTCATGCCTGGGGTGGGGGGTTACTGGGAGCTACCCAGAAGGACACGGGCTTCCGGGTGGGACTCGTTTCTTGGCCGGTGGTATCGTATTCTCTTCCCTTGTTATTTTCTCTTATCATTGCTGTTGTTGGTAGTAGCGGTGGTGATTTGTGTTGTACATTGGTTGCTGGACTGTTCTTGTCTCAACCTGTAGGAGTTGCACTCTTTTGATCCTCCTCCCCGTTCCTCTGGGAGTGGGGAAGGGGAGAGCTGGCGGGGGGGGGGGGGGGGCCTCGATTGCTGTCAGCCCGGCACCACTCACTGGGAGTGAGTGAAAAAGCTGCCTGATTGGGTTTAAACCACGACAGTTCTTTTTGGCACTCAACGTGGGGCCAACCACGACAATGACTGCCAGATTACCTGCAGAAAGAGGAGTGCAAGACAAAACTCCCCCACTGAGAAGAGAATGGAACAGAAAGAGCGTCAGACTCAGCTCCTGTAGAGCTACAAAGGCTACCATCTGGGATAAGGAAGCATAATGACAATGACCCCACCCTCTTCAGCCTATGTGGGCTTCAAGTTTTTGTGTGCATATATGTGATCTCCCAGTGTGTGTGCATCTGCCTGTATTAATTTCTTCCTCCTCCCCTGCAATCTGCTCCATTCTGGTTCTTACAATTTACCATTTCCTGTCCTGCTCCTAGTACTGAAAAGTCTGAGAAGGATGTTCATTTGTGCCCAGGTTTTACTACATGACAACTGTAAGGAGCCCAGGGATATTCTTCCTATTCCACTCTTATGCTGCTCAGTGGAAGCCCTCATGAGCTAGTTCTTAAACTAACATAAAAGCTTACACTTCCCTCAAATAGGAGATTCTCTGTTTTCTGCATAATGGCAGAAAAATCCCTATGGGGAAACTGCTGATCACACTTACCCCTTACAGAAAAATGAAGGGCAGCTACTTGTAATTAATTTATGAGGAAAATATCTAAATCCATGTTTAGTGACTGGAAACTGCTGCTTGCAACAGCTTATACTCAAGTTTCCCAAAATGCATACCTGGCATTCTGTACCTGTTTGACTAGATTTAATGATGTCACCAATTTCACTCACAATATGAGCAAATGTCTCATTAAATGGTGAAAAAAAAAAATAAAATAGGGGGGACACACCATGGAAAACCATGCTGGCATGCTCTGCCAGTAAGGAGAGGCACAAGAAGCCAGGAGGAAGCAGAGACAAGGCATCTGACCCAAACTAGCTAAAGGGGTATTCCATAAAACAGCACATCATGCCCAGTATAGAAACTAGGGGGAGTCCCCTGGAAGGCCCAGATTTCTGCTCAGGCTGGGTATTGGCTGGTGGGTGGTGAGCAATTGTACTGTGTAACACTTGTGTTGTTTTTTTTTCCTTTCCCATTTCAGTTTTATGTTCTCTCCCCTTGTTATTTCCCTTACCATTATTATTGATGGTGGTGGTAGGAGTGGTTTTGTATGGTACCTTATTTACTGGACTGTTCTTATCTCAACCCATGGATTTGCATTCTTTTGATTCTCCTCCCCATCCCTCCAGGAACCGGTGCGGGGGGTG